TTGATGCAACAATTAGTCTAAACTTTCAGCAGCGTCCAAGCAAGCGTTGCAAGGCAATTTGCAAACAGTTTCGTTTCCGAGCCACAGTCAAAAGCCAGGGCCAGAAATCAATCGTCAAGCTGTTGAAAATCGCAAATTGTGCAAAAGCAACGCAACATTCAGCATGCCGCATCCCCTTAGCCCCCCACCCCACCACCTCTGACTCGACAATCTCTGTGGCAGGTTACGTGCTATAATGCGTTATGATTTGCCGTCTTTACAAATGCCGGAAAGATGAACATGCACAGATTAGCGAGCCATCGCTAGATTGTACGTACCCGTACTTATATACATACATTTATATATACTATACTCATCTGACTGGAGGTTGCAGCTAAATTTTTGGGTTCAGCAATGAACGTGCTCGCCCAATCTGAAGCGCTGCTGCCCCCAAATTATGGGTAGACTCCCCAAAAGGGAGTCATATAATAATCGAAAAACTATGCAAGTTGCCTCTTATATGGGATGACCTTTATATTTAGGCAGGTTTATTCAACTGGGGAGTCCAAGAAACCGGACACAGTTCGTCCCGGCTGACTGATTGATTGATTCACTGTTACGGTTCAAAAAAGTTTGTTCTTGTGTGCAAAAAGAAATACTTGCCGGAGATCTTACTTTATTTACTTGATATATTTTAGAAAAAAGAGTAAATATTATTTTTTCAAATAAATTCAGATCTTTGGAATATATATTTTTGATTCGTTCGAAGTAGTGCCATCGACAGAATATTCGTTTCGTTTCTGAAGTAAAATATGTTGGATTGCAATCTGTTGTATGGAGTTTCACCAATCCGAGACAGAGTATTTCTCTAAGATCATTCTTCATTTACTAAAAGAGTTCATTTACTTCAAGTTTTTTAAAAATCGAATAATTGTAAGTTTTCTATTAAACAAAGCCTGTACTTTGAAAGATATACCTCCTTTGGACTAGAGTAGACTGTAATAAAATATTTCTATTTTATTTAGACAAACTGTTTTCCCCAAGATGTCAACAAATATACACACATTATACACTGACAGAAAACTTTCATGTGAAATTTAAGCTAATAGGTTAAATATAATATAATAGTATCTTGCGTAATGCGTCAATTATGCTTGCGAGCTACACTTGCTTTTAATGATCTCAAATATTCCAAGATTATATACCACTCGCTCTATTTACGGCGCCTCCAAGGCTGCATTTATTGCCATTATCTCAAATGAGGCTTGAACTGTGCACTCCACCATGCCGCGCCCAAATATAATAGTATGGGACGTGGGGGCAGGTGGTGGATTGCTTAGCCAAGCTTATTGAGCCATCAAGTAAATGCCTCAATTGAAGGCCCTAATGCTAATTAGCATAATTGTCGGAGCTAACCCCCTCACTCTCTGACTCATCCCATCCACAGAGACATTGCAACACGCTGCCCTGGGCGTTGCTGCTGGCGCTGCTGCTCGCCGCGCTCATGCTCCAGTTGGCAACTGCCGATGGCGATCAGGCGGCGGATGAGGCGGCCATAGAGGTTGAGAATGTTACCACTGAGAGCAATGAGATTATACCACGAGAGGCCATACAGAAGCTGGACTACTCGGTGCGACAGGCGCTGCTGCGTGCCATAGACAAGCTGGAGCGGGAGGAGGCCTCTGCGCAAGGCGAGGCGGAGGCGTCAATCAGTGCGCTTCCGCTGAAGCGCAATGAGATAACCACATTGCCGGCGCCACGGGAGCGTGAGGAGATTCTGGAGGAGAGCACCAGCTCCTCGGATGCTGTGGTGCCCACCGTGCAGTTCTATACGGCCACCTTTGACGAACGCAATGCTCAGGAGCAGCTGCTCTCCTCCTTCATCGATCGCTCCAAGCTATGGAAGAAGACAACAGTGCGCAAGCCGGTCTCCATCGATGCCAAGCTGGATGCGGATGTGGGTCCAGATTCGCGTCAGCTGACACGCAGCGTGGACAGCTCGCTAGGCAGCAATGAGATTTCACACGATGGTAGCAATGAGATCAAGTTTGAGATACGCAATGTGAAAAAGGCAACGACGGCAACAACATCAACATCAACAACAACTACAACAACAACGACGACAACAACGCCAAGGCCACGCACCACCAGGCGTCGCACGACCAGCACCACAACAACCACTACAACAACAACGCCACGCCCCACACACAACGAGGATGGCGAGAACATTGAACTAGTGGACAAGGAGGACATACGCATTCTGGCGGCGCCGCTGGTAACCGCCTTCACAGTGGATCTAGATGAGCGAGGCACGGCGCAAAAGTTTCGCCCGCTGCTGCAGGGCGAGCAAAGCTTTCCACAGCCGCAGCAGCTGCAGCAGCAGCAGCAGCCGCAGTTGCCGCTGCCACTGCCACACGTTGGACCCACCATTACCAAGCTGAACGTTCTGGAATCGGAGCTGCCTGCAGCGCCGCTCACCACACAGAGTCCCACTAGCACCACCAGCACGAGCACCGCGCAGACGAGTCTCAACCTAGCGGGCTTCTCCACAACGCCCGCCTTTCTCAGCGGCAGCAGCTCGAACAACAACTACATCAAGGTAGGTTCGCATCCAACCAAATGACACCGCCTTAATCTTGTCTTATTACTCTGCATTTAGGAGCAGCTGGCTAGCTCTAGTGTGACAGCACCCGTCCCGCCCAGCGTCAATAGCTACATCATTGAGCGGCAGCGCGCCTTGGAGCAGCAAATATATCAGCTGAAGCTGCAGGCCCAGCAGCAGCAGGCGCTGATCTTGCGCCAGTTGAAGCTGCTGGAGGAGCAGAGTCAAAGTCGCTACCAAGCTGCGCCGCTTGCGCAATCGAGTACATTGCAGCCGCAGCAGCAGCAGCAGCAGCAGCAGCAACAGCAGCAACAGCAGCAGCAGCAGCTTCAGTTGCAGCAGCAGCAGCTACAGTTGCAGCAGCAGCATGCATCACTGGAGGCAATACAAACGCTGCAGCCACCTCTGCCTGGTTACTCCATCAGACCTTCGGTGGAATTTATACCCAGCACACATACGAAAACCATTATCTATCCCACATATCCAATTGAGCAGCAATTGCCGCTGCGCGATGCCGTTGCGGCTCATAAATTTGGCCTGCACGGCAGCAACGGCAACAACAACAACAACAACAACAACAATAATAACAACAATAACTATCAGAAATCGCCAACGGCAACGAGTGCAGTGCAACAAATTTTCCAAAATTTGCAACAAAATCTACAAAAAACAGCGGAACATGCTGTCGGCAATAACCAAAATCCCAATAGCATTGCCAGCAGTAACATCAACAACAACAACAACAACAACAATCATTTACAGCTACAAGCCTCAAATCAGTTCAGCTTTGCGCCTGCGGAGGCATCGCTGTTGCAAGCACCACCCCAAAATAATTACCAGCAATTTCAGCAGCAGCAACAGCAGCAGCAGCAACCGTTGCTGCTGCCCAGCTATGTAAGCAATGCGCTTTATCAGCAACAACAGCAACATCAGCAGCAACAGCAGCAGCAGCAGCAACAGCAGCAGCAGCAGAATCGAGCGCGTTTCTTTCGACAAGAATCGGGCACCGGGAACTTTGGTCTGAATAATGAAAATGTGGAAATCCAGCCGAGCAACTCTTTTGCCACCACCATTGTAAGCCAGCAAAACAATCTGGAAAATCAAAATTTCTATCGCCAGCACTTGACGCCGCAGCTTAGCAGCCAATTGCAGCAAAATGCGCAGCAGTATCTGCAACAGCAGCAGCAACTGTTGCAGCAGCAGTCAAAGTCAACGACAGCAGCAGCAGCAGCAGCAACAGCAGGAACAGGCACGCCCAGCGTGAGCTCAGGTAATCCAAATTCTAGATTAATTATACCTAGCAATCAGTTAAGTCCATTTAATAGTTTAAGAAATCTCGAAGAATTGAAAGTAATTAGTAAAGTTTTAGCTCTCAACCATGGCATACCGCAATTTGCATCACAAAACCTGCACTACAATGGTGCCTTTTGAGCACCAGCAACTGCACCACCAGCACCACCACCAGCACCACCACCAGAACCAACACCATTCCAAAAAAAAAATGCACATCCAAATATCACCACCAATCCAAACAATCTCCTCAGCCGGATGTCTGCCGTTCCATTCCGATCCGTTTGCCCGTTAATTAAGTTCTTCTTGCAACATCTTTGTAAATACGCACACTAAAGCATAAGCATTATAATAATGAATACGCGACAAGGAACAACCGAAGCAGCAGGAAGTTTTGAACAGGATGTGCCGTGGCGGCCGTGGCGATTTTAAGTTCTGCTTGGCTTAAAGCTAAATATCGAAATGTAATAATTATTTATTTTTATGTGAATAAAGTTTATGATAAAGTACAACAAACATACTCAAACTGATCTTAAAAATAAAATGTTTTTATATAATTAATTAAACAAAAGCTTTTAATTGCGGACCCCAAATTATGGCTTGAGTGTTCCTTGTATAGAACAACTTCCAATTAAAGAAAAACTTTTCATGCATCATATTGAAAAGTCATTACATATTTTCAAGATCGAACCTTATTTATCCAAGAAATTGTACCTTGCAGAGGGGAGAAGCAAACATATAATTTAAAATGTTTTAAGATGTTGCATACTTTCAAGCTGATCGTGCTTCTAAAGTACCATATTTTATCACCAGACGGCGACTGCTCACAATTTCACGTGACCTTGTAAAGCATTGCATACTTTCCGGCTGTCGATTAAAAGCATTACAAAAACATCCCTTTTATGATCCGAACATATTGAATAGGAATACATTTTGATACTCACAGTAAACAACTCTTTTAATTCCAGTTTAAGGATTTCGACAATGCTGTATTACAGCAAATTTGACAACATTTCAAAAATCACCTTTATCTCGGCCATTTAAATGTCATGATAGTGATTGCATACAAATTGCTTTAGCAAGGTTATATTCCACGGAAATCCACCCAATAAATGATCATTTCTTTCAGTTATGTCAGTAGAATTTTTTGTTGTTTATTGCACAGTTACAATATACATGTTCTCAATCATATAATTTATTATAGCTAAATTACTAACGTATATATATAAAAAATATGTGGGGCTCTCTTTTCGTTATTTATATTACTGAGTTGGCTGGCGGGGAAAGGGCGGTTGGTTTGAGGAGCGGGGACGGGGCGCGGTTAGTGTTAACAAAACAACAGCGAAGCTTACAAAGAGCTGAGAAAGCAGAAACTAAAACTAACCTAGAATTACATTTAACTTAATAGTTTAGATTTTCATGTTTGTTTTGATTTTCTCATCAAATTCATAGCTCCGGGGCAATAGTTTAACAATTTCAACAGGCGCGCTTTACAGAACTTTTTTTTCTTTTGTTGGGGGGCGGTCTTAGCTATACCTATGCGGCGTATAGCGCTTAACTAATATGGTACATGGACTTTTTGTTTTTTTTTTCATAGGTTTTTTTTATAAAAAAAATAGTAGAATTCGTTTCGAGCTTAACAAAAACGCAAGCTAATTAAACTAACAGATTGGAGTAGTATGCACTCATCCAGTTCTGAGTAATGGGTATGTATATAATAAATATTTTTTTTAAATTTTTAATTTTTGTATGTTTTGTTGGTGTTTGGATTAAACTAATTAAAAATTTATCACTAGTCTCTATATGTACTATGTATTTATATATATATATATATAAATATAAATATTCATCTACATTCGTATAATTTGCTCAAGTCTTAAGAATACAGTTGGTTTTCAATATGAATTTGACAGTTTCATAACGTGCAATGTGCGCGTTTAAAGGGGCGGATGGCGGGTCTTGTGGCCAAGTTTTGTAAGACATTTGCTTTGTTTTTTTCGTACAGTGTCAATTTTTTGGGGGTTGGGCAGGGTCAATTAGTACAAACTGACTATGGGTCTATACTAGTACTACAAATTATGCATTAAGGGCTAGTTAGTTCTATGCAGTTACAAATAATTTTATCATTTCTTGCATATTTCGTGTTGCTGTTGTTGTTGTTGCTGCTGTTGGTCTGCTCCAACTCTTTATCTATAAGGCACAGATATTTGTTACATCAGTTTCATCTAGTTTCTCTTTTATACACATATAAATACTTTTCGCCTAATGCAAATAAATACCAAAAATAAAAATAATTACAAAAATATACAGCTCAGGTGGGAAGGGGCGTCGTCCAGCAGGTAGCGGGAACTACACCTCCACGCCGTAGTTGCGGTCAACGACATAGTCGAAGCGTTGCTGCTCTGGCTTGGCCTCATCGGGCAGTGGCGCAGCTTCGGCAACGGAGACGGGCACAGGGATAGGTGAAGAAACAGGGGCTGGGTTAATGGCTGGAGTGGGGGCGGCAGCCAGTTTGGACAATAAGCCGTCTGTTGATCGATGGTGATGCTCACTGAGATTCTTATTTCTATTGCTGCTGGCCACCAGAGCCGTGTTAATGGCAATGGCTGTTTCAACCACATTGTCCTCATCATCATCATCGTCGTCCTCTTCCTCTTCTTCGATGGCATCTGCATCGGGATGCATGAATTCGATGGGCAGCTCGGGCACGGACATGCCCTTGCGTGTAAAGAAGGAGATTTTCTCTCTGCAACAAACAATGGGCAAGATTAGCAACTGGAGACGCTTTGGTCAACTAATATAACTCACTTGAAGGAGACCAAATCGGGGGCACCTTTGGGCACCTTGGTCTTGCGTAGCTTGTGTATTTCTTTGGTGGTCTTCATAAGCAGTTTCTGTAACAGACGCTCCTCGGGGAACTTGGCGGGATCGGCACGTGCCACCAGACGCTGGAACTCCTCATTCTCAATGGCCCAGGCTGCAATCAAAGGATCCTTGTTATCGCACGCCTTCTGAAGACTACAAGAAATGGAGAAGCATACAATTAGGAAGATAAGCAGGAGGAGCGTTGTGCATTTCAAACTACTTACACTTCCTTGAGGTTCTGCAGCTTGGAGATTTGATCGTTGAGAAAGAAAAGCTTGCTGTGCTGTGCCTGTAGATCCAACTCCAAGTCCAAGCTAGTGCGTGGTATGTGATTATGATGCAGTTCTAAAAGCCAAGGAGACCATTAAGTTAGATTCAAGTTACCAGAGTGACGATTTACGTTGGACTTACTTGTAACTGACTTGGTCGCCTTGGGTTGGAAGCGCAGCGAACGTCGCTCCACGGCGCCGCGATGGAAGGTGTGTGGCGTTACGCCAAAGTGCATGGCCGAGTCCGAGTCGCTGCGATTGAGCCGACAATTATAACGATTCTTGCTGACTGCCGCCGAGGGCGTAAACGTTTGCGAACGCTTCACGGGCCTGTCGTCCAGCAGCTGCGACTGGCTGCGTAGCTTTTCTGGTGGAAACGCGCAATCGGTATTAGTTTCCTTATCGGCATACTCCTGCTTCATGTTCTCCAGGTAGGCGTCCAGCATGCAACCAGCTAATGGTGGGTTTACAAATTTGGCATAAGTTAAAAATTCATGTGCTGTTTGAAGAGTTCAGCCACTTACAGTGCGTCAGGCCGAGTGTGCCGACCAGCTGCTGTTCATCCTCCTCCTCATCGTCGTCGTCCTCATCGTCGCTGCACTGCTGCTCATTGTGGCGGACATGCTCGGGCAGCTCCTCGGCTATTTGCGCCTGCAGCTCCAAAGGCGGCGCCTGGTTGCGCGTTAGCGTTGAGGTTTGCGATGATGTTATTGTGGACTCATCCGAGGATTCTTCGCGATTGTTGATGTTGCTGTTATTGTTGTTGCTGGCGGCAACGGCGGCAGCTGCTGCCGCTGCGCTTGTGGAGGGCAAATCCAGTGACTCAAAGCTCGGTATAAACTTGGAACTGAGCACATTGTACCACTTGAGCGTGGAATCTTCCGGATTGAACTCGGCCATGCTGATCTGCACAGTGCCCTGAAAGAATTAAATCAAGGCAAGGATTAGAGCTAAGTCTCTTTTAACGCTCAGCAGCTACGACTTACAATTATCTCCTCCTTTTGTCCAGTCATGCTGACAACGGTCACCTGCAGGCTCTTGGTCAGCAGCTTGTCCAACAAGATGGGCACCGCGAAGGTGTCATTGAAGACGGGCTTCTGGAAGTCGCCCAGCGCCTTGGTGCGTATGGAGGTCAGCGAATTGGGCAGCAAAGCGGCGCGCAAATAACTGCAAAAGTGGAAATGTTAGCAACTGCCTTTGAATGGGATCCAAGCGGGCAGACTTACACTTGCGAGTTGTCCGTAGTGGCTGTCCATAGGGCTGACAAATTATTGGCACGCTCTAGAGACACAACAAGCACACCTTCCTGCTTCAGATATTTCAGTCCAATTTGCACTTGGGCCAGTTCCTTACGTGGCAAATGCGCACGGGATGCCTCAAAGACGCCGGAATCGCCGGCCACAGATTCATTGCTCACAGCTGCCGAAACGGAACGCGTATTCGAGGTGGAAGAGGAGCGACTCAACATCTCTTGTGGCAGATCTAGCAGCGAAGGCTTCTCCGAGATGGGCGACAGCGGCCCGTTCAGATTGAGCGGTGAGCCGAGGTTCAGCTTCTGGAGTTTTGCCTCCAGCATCATGCAGTCCAGCACTGTGGAGTCCAGGTCATAAGGATGAGCACGCACAGCAGCCAAAGCCAACGGAATGGCAGGTGGAGCTGCGTAGGCGGGCGGCGCGGGTATCGTCGGCAGAGTGGGCAAAGCATTGGCATATGTTGGCTCCTCTTTGAGCTTGGCCTGTGCCTGCGGCTGATCGGCAATCGCATTGTATTTCATGGGCGAGGCGGGCGGCGTTTCCATTGAGAGACTGCTGCGCGGCGACAGTGAGACCTCCGAGGATGCCAGCGGCTGCGTTTGTTGCTGCTGCAGGGCTGGGTGCACGGGTGGCAGTCGCTGATGCTGCTGGAATAGGCGCTGCGAGCGTCGCTGCAGATCCACTACATCAATGGGCGATTCACCCACGGCAAAGGGATCTATATAAATGTCCGTAAAGCTGAGCGCGCTCTTACTGCTGGCGGTGGAGAGGGAGCCCAGGCTGCTGCCGCTGCTAATAGAGAATGTGCTCTCCGAGGAGAATGACTTGAGGCGCTCCTCCAGCAGTTTGGTGGACTTCAGGGCCTCCTGCAGCTTGTCCAGCAGCAGTTGTTTCTCCTCGTGGAACCGCAGACGATTCGCAATGCATGTGTTGGTCGCCTCGTACGCCTCCTTCAGATCCTCCTCCAGTTTGTGGCGCGTCTGTTGTATGACCTGTTTTTCCTCGGCACTGCGCGACTTGAGCGAAATGCTGTTTAGATCGTTGAGCAGCTTCTCCTTCTCCTGTATAAGCAGGATGCGATCCTTGTCCGACTCCAGCTGACCGGGCTCAATGCGCTCCACATGATCCGCCAACTGCTGTTGCAGCTTCTTGATGTGCTTGCGCCACTCTGCATATTGCAGCTTGGTCTTGGCCATTTCGGCGAAGCGTGCTCCGCCATTCAGATGCTCCCCGGCGCCGCACAAGTCCGTCTGGCTGGCCACACATACGCGATCAAAGGGTGAGGCGGCACTCATTAGCTCGGCGTTCTCCTCATTGATCTGTTGGCGGCTCAGCTCGTTCTTGATCTGCACCAGACTGCGCATCAGCTCCTCGCGCACCTTCTCGCCGGAAACGAGAGACTTGTGCACCTTGAGCATCTCCTCGCGTATCGCTTGGACCTCGGCAATGTCGTAGCAGCCATTCTTGCGCGCATTGATCTTCTCGCCCACGGAGTAGAGCGTGTTCATGCCCCGTTCCGTGTAGGATATATCATTGGTAATGTGAGTCAGCTCCTGTTTCAGTTGACGCACGCGCTCACGCGCCAGCATCAGATCGGCACGCAACAGCTCCGGATCGTGTCGGCTCATAGAGCTAGACGAAGAGCATACTGCAAAGGAGAAGAAGAGAGAAGCGGATAAGTAATGGTTGTTGATAGTTAAAAAATACTCTACAGTTTTCGTAATCTTTCAACCTGATCAGTTTATTATCAAACTCTAGTCTACTGTCAACTCAGTTGGCCAGTCTATAGCATACTACAAGGAGATTTAGGTGAAGAGAGAAGAAGAGGGTAAGTATTCCTGCAGAATTATTCATGTTAAGAGCATACTACAAACGGATGGATATGAGAGAAGCCGGAAAGTACTCTATAGCTATTTCATTTAATAGATTAAAATTTAATAAGTGATGGTTTCGTCTTTAACCGATTATAGATTTGTTCTGTGAGGAGCATATTCTATATAAATATGGACACAAATAAATGAACTTATGGACATGCGAGAGATGCGTTTAAGAAGTTAACCGTTATTTGCAATCTATTTACTGCTTTACATAAAAACTGAGGGAGAAGCGGCTAAGTACTCTACGTAAAAACCTCCTATCGAAATCAATTTAATAGAAAGAGGATTAAGTAAGCTGTCTTATCTGGACGCTTGCCCAAAAAAAAGGTGTTTATAAGCTGTCAAGAATGCGGCTATCATTAGGCAATAATTGTGAAATCTCTTATCACTGTTGTTTGACAGAAACAATAATTATCAGAAAACAGAAATCGGTTAGCCCACGTGATAGTCGGCCTAAGGAGAAATATGTTGTGCTGCGTATACTTACAGCTGCTGCGACTGGCCGCCAGTTTGTTCAGGTGATTGTATTCCTCCTGGGCAAGATTGAGACGCTGCTGTTTGACATCGTACATCTCGCGTTTGTTCTCCAGCTGATCCTGTGCCGCGGACAAGTAGTCGCTGAGCATTTGCTCCTGTACGCTCTTCCACTCCTGGCGCGGATCCTCCAGCTGTGTGCTCTGTGCTATGTGGTTGATATAGTAGCGTCCAATATTCGAGTCGTACGCCTCCTCCCAGCCCACGGGCAGCTCATCGCCCACACAGTCCTCAAAAGATTGCGGTTTTGTGTAGCTGAAAAAAGAATCAAGACAGATGCAGGTTAGCCATGTAGCCAGTTGTTCGTGTATCTGGTTTTGACCCAAACATATTTAGCTTATCAGCTTGTTTGCATAGAGACAACAAATCGCTAATGAATTTCCGTCGAGCAGATTTTGGTTAGTTTTGTTTTTTCTTGCCCTATCTTAGATGTATCGTAACCTGTTTACTGTCTCTGTTCCCACGCCAGCTAATTGGAAGCGTTTCTCTTGGGCCCATTCGATAAGATTAGCGACAACTTTGTCTGGTATTTCCTGTGTGTGCATTTTTTTTTCGGTAAAAGTGGGCAAAAAAAAATATATACAGACACATTTCTTAGATTCTCAAATATTTACCATGCAGCATTAGCACTTGCCTAATGGAATGTCTTCTCACTGCAGCGTTTGTTGTTGCCATACAATGTGCCCCTAACCCCTTACCCTCTCTATGCCATATGCTTTTGCCATATGTCTAATCTTATCGAGGTCGCAATTTTCCCGCTGCGGCAAAAGAGCTAATGACGATGACGTTGTCGTTGTTGTTGTTGTTGTTGTTATTGTCATTGGCTGTTGTCGTCGCTGCGGCTGAGCTTTTTACTTCTTATTTTTGTTCGGTTATTTGTTTGCGAAATTCAATTTCAATATCAGCGCAGACAACAACATTTTCGCATTCCAATGATAATTACTAATCTTCATAAATTAATTGCTCCAATAGGTACACACACACTCGCTTTATACACTCTGATAATGGGCTTCAATTGAAAAAAAATATTTGTTGTTTTCCTTAAGGCTGACATATTTATATGATTTGTTAATTAATCATTGCTGTGGAATTCACGCGGCCATTTAAAGAGCAGCGCGCAAAAGGCTGCCCGGCGCGATAATAAAATGTGCGCCATATGCGCCACACACACAAATCTACTTGTACATGTGTATATATGTTTATAGAGCATCTGTAGAGTCGTTGTACAACATGGGCTCAACAGTCCGACAGTTGCGCATTAAAAAGGAATTTTCCAAGAATAAAAGTTGTTTGGCGCAGTGGCTGCAGCTAAGCCCAAAGATTATGCGCCATAAACAAAAGTATCTGTGAGTTTGCAAATGTATCTCAGCTAGTGTTTTGCTTAAAATAAAGCAAAAATTCTTGCACATCAATATATGTAAGTAATTAAAGCATTGATGAACATTACGAGTTTACACACTGAAAACTCCAAGAAGCTTGTACTTAAGTCAAGTACAAGGGTTCTTAAAAACATTCTCGATTCCAGACATTTTTAAATACCGAAGTTCTCTAATGTAAGAATTAATACAGAAATATAGGAAATGCCTATTTGTTGTTAAGCTTATTTTAATAACTAATCCAAGCATTCATTTTTTAATGTTGTCAATCAATTAATTTGTGCCAGAAGTAAACAAAACAAAGCTTGGGGAATTCTATTTCGGCCATAAAGAATAGCGTTTTTCTCTGAGTGTAGCTATATAGTTTGCTGACTAAGCAACAGATCGTGTATCGCACATTCGACCCAGCTAAACAATTATTAAATTCAAAGTCTGAAATAGAGATTCTTTAATTAAGCTGAGTTTCAGTTTACCGATCAGTGTGGAAATATGTATATATTTAAATTACTCTAATGAATCAGCGAATTCCATTCGCCTGTTTAATTTATGATCAGCTGATCATTAATAGCCGCAGCCAGTTGTGACGTATCTGAAGGGGACGACGTGCACTTGGTCAGGGACGCAAAAGCAAAACCGATTAGCTGTGAGCTTCTGGCGATAAGCAATCATTAAAATTGCATGTGTTTCACAAGGGTTCGATTTGCGTTTAAATAAAGAACAAATGGCATACAAAATGTGTGCCATATAAAAGTGCTTTGTTTAGATACAATACAAAATCGGTCAGACGGATGGAGGGGGATTATATATCAGCTTGTGCAAACAGCGAAAAGTGCAGCCGTAAATAAATAAACATAAACATACTGACAAAATGTAGCCAAAGACATGTCCCAATCTCGGAACAGAGTCCAAGTCTGAGACTGACACACAAAACGATCTGGCGATCGACAGAACCTGACAGCGATGTCAACAAAGCACCCAGAGAGGAAGAGAACACAGTGTGAGGGGGGAGAGGACAAAGGGAGTGTGACGGTTTCATAATTAAAAAGCGACGAGCTTTTTTTTCATTTATTTATTTTCATTGGCTTTTCCACGTTAGGCAATGGCACACAGTTGATATCTGCTTGAATTACGATCGCTCATTTGTTTATTTTGCATGCGAGCTAACTGTGCAAATAAACATAACGATCGTCCGACTGAGACATCAATATCACGTTCAGCCCTTAAGAGTATATAGGAATACATATATATATATATATATAAATATTTATATATATATATATATATAGAAATATACATATATATATATATATATTGAGTGATATATTTTGAATAATAACACGCTTGGATATACAAGAGCTTTCTGCTAATCAGCTGAGCAGAATATTTGATTACATATGTATTATTTTTATGTATATATTTATATTTTATTTAATGTAATCTATGTTCTTGTTTCATAAGAAGCGTCCTATATTTTTAAGGTATGCAAATTCCAGCTATAAGTATCTTATACCTTACCCAAGTCAATTTGGTTCTAAATCATTATCACATTATCGTTAAAGTTGAAAATCAACTATGATTTATACCCAACTTTAGGAATTTTCACAAATAAAAAGTTACATAAGCAATATCAATACAGTCCCCGTTTATACCAAAGCCTAAAATGTCGTTTTTCTTCGAGTGCACACGATCGGTTGTGAAATTTGAATAGTTTGCAAGTTATTTCGATTTTTGTTTCATAAACTCAATTGAGGCTTACACAGGTGGCAGCATGGCGTGTGGCAAACGCAGCTGGCAATAAAAAATGTTACAAAAAAATATGAAAAAAAGTTGCCTTTTAATCAGTTTCAATGGGTAAAGTGCATGCAAATTTTTATGGTTTTCCATTAACGCTTGAATTGGACTCACATTTGACCTCAGCGAGACCTAAGCAAATCAAAAATCAATGAATTGTAACGTGTGTTGGGTGGTGTGTGGGGTGTTGCATGCATTGGCATCAAGTAATAGGGCTTCCTCTCAAGTCTCTTGACAACGAACTAACGAGCGACCCGTTGGCGTTGGCCTTTTAACAGTTGTTGGCTTAACTAACTGGCTAACTGGCGACCACTGAATGGTTAAATTGCCGCAGCCCACATTAAACGTGGCGTTCGGCTCAAGAAAACTGCATAAATTAAATAATTGTAAACAAAATATTTATGGCGCAGAGCGTCGTTGTAATAAATTCGCGCTTTATTCAAAAAAAAAAAAGAGGTACACAAAAACAAGTTTCGGGCCAACAAAATATTTCAGCATGAATTTCGTTGTCACAATAGCGAGAGCAACAACAACTACACAACTACAGTGAGGCATGGCTGGCCAGGCAAGTGGTCATTGATGGTGAGGACAACAACAACTTTAACAAAAAGTTGTCATTAGGCAGCACTTCAATGAAATGCACACACGCACACACAGTTATGTACAGCTACATATATGCAGATACAGATACACGCACGAAGCATAGATACATTTGTATAAACAATATTATTTAACTGCTTACGACGCGTTTTATGCTAATTGGCCCGCTCATAAAACGTATTTCTTTCGAAGAATCTTTGCATCTATATAAATAGTATTTATTTTCTAAGTGACTTTTGGTTATATTTTTGGCTTTATGTAAATGTTTTATACAAGTTTTGCATTTTCATGCCTAGCTTACGGCCCTTGGAAACTTTTGTTTTCGGCAGCCTTGTGACAGAAAACAAATTAAAGACGCCACCAAATTCTGTTCTCTTTCATCTATTTTAATAGTCGATCATTAATTCAGCTAAAGAATTTCCAATCGGCCTGGCCCGAACATCATTTAGCAATTCAAATTCAATCAGGCATCACAGACAGAAACAGCACAGCAACAAAATAACAGTTGAAGCCGGTTTTCGAGAAATTTCATACACATCTTTGGTCAGCATAAACATTGGACGTGGAGTAGTTTTTTTTTTTTTTTTTTTTTTTTTTGTGAGGTTTCGAGTTATTTATCATCTATATGGATGTCGCTTGGGCTTAACCAAATCACGTAGTCACTGTCAAGTTCTGCTCTAATTGTTAACTCTATTTTTACGCTTGTTTTGTTTTTAACGGAACTGAGATTATAAACCATACGGTCTTCCATATAGTACACACACAAACACACACTTAGAACGCGACAAAGACAACGATTTCCGGTTAATATAAAAAAAAATAAATAAATATATTTACATATATACGACAGTCGCATGGCCCACTTGGCCGCAGCTCAGCTCAAAGATCAGAACAACATCAACAACAACTACAACAGCAGATTTTTATGCAAAAATCACAGCATACACATACCTACAAAAACATTAAAGTCAATTTATCAGGCAGTCAATCGAACATCACCTTGACATACCTATATGTATTTATAGGTACCGGCCACGAGTAAATATAAACAAAACAGTTGACGCAATTGTCTGAGTTTACGGCATAAGATATTACGTTATGGTCGTTAGACATACGTAATATCGTATGATCGTCACATGCTAACATAACTAGGAAAATCTACGGATTAGAACGTAACTATTGAAATGCGTGATAAATGTATTAATTATTATTATGCAGAAAATCAAAAATAAGAAATACGTGCGTCATTTATGGACATATGATCGTCACTTGGCAGGAATGTCATGACAGCCACAAAATCTTGGAATGCGAAGTAGATATGGGCAACTCCTAAGCATCAGGTGCTTGACTTGAATAAAGGATCACGGAAAACAAGGATCAAATAAATGAAGTTTCCTGTACCTGATTTTTTGAGAAAATCTACTTTACATTTTAAGTAGAATTCGATATGGACTTATTCATAGCATGTTAAGTCTACAATTCTTAATA